GGGGGCCCGGCCCCGGCAGGTAGGACAGGCCCCTCCTCCCCGAGGCCCGGTTGGGGGCTGGGCGAGCCCAGGCGAGCCGCTGCCCCTCTCGGGGGCCTCAGGTTGGGGGAGAGCTTCCCCTCTTCCTTTCTTCCATCCCGTCCTCCCTTGCTCCCCTCTCTCCATCCCCCACTCCCTCTATCATCCCTCCCTCCCTACATCCTATATTAGTGAAAATTTGCAGCAGGTGCACCGACCGCTGCACCCTCCATTTTACAGAGGTGGAAACTGCGGTCACAGAGGACGCAGGGGCGGCTGGTCCCGTGTTGATAGCGCTTGTCATTGAGGGAACCCTAAGCTTTACGTGCTCCTCTCGTTCTGTGGACTAGCCCAGGAAAGGCCCGCGGTCCCTGCGCGGCTGGTGTTGCTACCTCCTTTTGTAACTGTGTCTCACACAGGGGAGGCTGATCTCTCTAGGCTGCCGGGTTTGGAAGCGGGTGGACGAGATTTGAACTTGCTTCTGGTAGAGCCGGAGCCTGTGCTCTGGCCCTGGGTGGGGTTCCTTCCTCAGGCACCTGGGCTCAGGAACATGGGTACCGGGGCGGACGAGATTTGAACTTGCTTCTGGTAGAGCCAGAGCCTGTGCTCTGGCCCTGGGTGGGGTTCCTTCCTCAGGCACCTGGGCTCAGGAACATGGGTACCGGGGCGGCAGGTGTCGGGGCAGGGAATGCTGGGAGGAACCTTCCCAGTGTTTCCCTCCAGGATGCTGGGGGAAGGGAGCCAGAATCAGGGTCCAGGATTCCACGGATTAGAACGGATGGGAACTTCCACCACTGGAGTCGATCCCACCTAAAGTGTGCACTATCCATTCCATAGCTCAAGGGGTATTGAAATGCACTGGTGGGTCAGTCAACAAATATGTGTTGGGTGCCTGCAGAGGGCTGAGCCCAGCACCGGGAGTAGAGGACACAGCAGAAACCAGGCGGACCCAGACATGCCCTCATGGGGTAGACAATAGAGACAAGACGGTAATGTCAAGTGAGGATGAATGCTGGGAAAGGAAGAAAATGGGGCGATGCCAGGGAAGACGACAGGGTGGGGGTTGAGAAGGGACCATCAGCAGAGGCTTGAGTGGAGGCTTGAAGGAGGAAAGAAGGCAGAAGATCTGGAGGACAGTGGTCCAGGCAGGGGGAACACCATGTGCAAAGAAGGCCCTGGGGCAGGAATGAGCTTGGGGTGTTAGAGGGAGGTCGAGGTGATTGGTGTGGCCGGAGGGAGACATGAGGGAGATAAGGGCAGGGAAATCAGGAACTGGACCATGTAGGGCTCCTTGTGCTGTGGTGAAGATCTTGGGGTTTACTCTGCCTGAAAGAGTTATGAGAAAGGAGGGGAATGATCTGGCTTCAGTCTGGAATAACCCCCTCCAGCCACCATGGAATAAAGGGGCCAGGAGGGCAGGTGGTGGGGAGACCAGGGAGGAGGCCACTTCCACTGCACCGGTGGGAGGTGAGTGATAATGGAAGCTCTCAGAGCCTCCGTTTCCTAAGCTTTCAGGAATGGGGAAGGGAGAGTGCACACAACAGAAGCACTCAGCATGGTGCCAGGCTCAAAACCAAGTCCTCAATCAGTCTCAGCTCTTGGGAATCTCTTTTTCTATCATCTCTGATAACAAGTTACCCCTGGTTTCTTCATTTCCCAAATAAGCTTATGGTCTGTAAAATAATGGAAGTCAGGTGTCTAGCAAGTGTCTGTGCATAATAGCTGCTTCATGAGTGTTGGATGTTTGAATGGACTGATGTATATGGGTGGGTCATGGGAGAGGGGGGAAGGATGGTGGATGGATGAGTGGTGAATGAGGGATGGATGAATGGACAGATGGATAGTTGGTTGGATTGATGGATGGTGAATGGGAGATGGATGATGGGTGGATGGGTGGGTGAAGGATGAGTGGATGGATGGATGGATGGATGCGTGGGTGGTGAATGGCAAATGAATGGATGGATGGATGGTGGCTGTTTAAATAAGTGACTGGATGGATTAATAGGTCCTGGTTAAATGGACGGATGGCTGTATGGTTGAATAATTGATGCGGATGGGTAGATGGTAAATGGTAATGGACATTTACCTGGAAGGATGGATGAGGGGGTAGATGGATGGATGGATGGATGGATGGATGGATGGGTCCTCACATAGATCTCAGGTCCCCCAAAGCTGGGCCACTCTCCCTCCCTCTCCTCCGTGGCCTTCCCCCACCAGCTTCACCCCCTGAACCCGTTTTCTTCCTGCCCCCCCTCCCTCCCAGGTCTGACTGGTTTCTCTATGACTGCCGCCTCCTCAGACACGTGGCCCTTGGCCTTTTCTGCTGTGGGGTCTCTGTCTACTTAGCAGGTGCGTGCCGGGGAATAGAATATGGGGTGTAGAGCCCTGGGCGGGGGTGGCCGGGGGTAACGACCCCATAACTGAAGTCAGCTCTCCAGAGCCAGTCTGCCTGTGTTCGACTCTCGGCTCTGACACTTTCGTGCTCTGGGACCTTGGGCAGATTCCCACTGTGTCCCAGTTTCCTCATCAGTACAGTGGGGATGCATACATCCCTGCCTTCTAGAATTGCTGAGGGGATTCTGGGTTAGTCCCTGTGAAAGCCCATACGTGGCATCTGACCCCAGTGGGGGTTCCATAAGTTGTATTGTCTTCAGAACATTCTTGATTCTTCAGTTTCCTACATTTGGTTTGAACAAAAGTTTTCATGTCCTTGGTGGTTTTCTGGAGATAGTGTTTCACAGGTTGGTCTTAGTAAAAAGCTGTTTGGTTACAAATATCAGAACCTCCAGCTCAAGAATGGCTTAGGTTTAAAAAAAAAAAAATGCTTTATAAACCAGAAATGCAGTGTAAATCCCAAAACATGAAGCAAAACAAAAACTAATAACGTGGGTACCAGAAGGACACAGCGCACAGTCTTCCCTTCCCTGACCTGTAATAACTTTTCTTAGATCAACATTCTCTCACCCACACTTGCCAGTAAAGGAACCAAATCATCAAGTTTCTTTAAAGAGACTCCTGACATTTTATATTTTGTTCTAATCTTGAAAGATGTGTTGATGGTGCTGCAGACTCAGTGCTGAATCATACATAGACCACGGGGACCCTTATAAACAACCCGTTTTCCTGGAAGAAGAAAATATTCCGCTGAATGAAAAAGAAGGGATTTGCTATTATTGTCTTTTTTTATTATTATTATTCCTACAACAGAAAAATAGAAGTTTAGAAGAGATATTTAAATTATTTATTTGTGAGATGTGAGCCTAGGGTTCATTATGGGAATATAAAGGTATATATGGGTATATAAAGTGCAGGGAACTCTGCATAACTTTTGCTGTTTGACTTAATAAAATGCGCCAGCTGTGAGTTTTTTAAAAAAGAGAGTGGATGAGGTGACTCATGTATCTGTAAAGATCGGGGGTGTTTGGCCTCAGGTGCAGCTGGTTCTAGGTGCTCAACAAGGTAATCGGAAATGCCTCTTGTTTCACCTCTTCACCTGCTATCCTCTGGGAAAGATGCCTGTATCTGTAAGTGCTTTCAACATAATGCCTATAACCTTGAGCCTTTTCCCAGGCTGGCAAAAAAAGTGTTGGAGACTTGGAGAATAAGATATCCTCATTCTAGTATACAAGAAAACTCACAAAGAGAAAAAAAAAGGTAACTATGTCAGCCTCATTAAGTGTTAAATTAAGAATTTGTTCAGCTCCCATTTAGATTCCTTTTGAGGTTAGGTGACCTCACTCAGCAAGAATTCCCAAGCACATCCAGCCAATCATCCAATCATCCATTCATTGCTAGCCAGAGCCAAAAGAATAATTGAAAAAACCTTTTCAAAAATGTTTAGAGCAAAAAAAAAAAAAAAGTCCTTAGCCTCACTTTAATATGTCAAACATGATGCAGTGTGGCATCTTAAAAGCAAGAGTACAGAGCTGGAGAAAGCATAAAAACAGCCAGCAAAGTGCCAAGAAAGCTTCCATCTCTCTCTGGGCTTCTCTTCAACCAATTCTCCCGCTGCTCCAGTAAGAAAATTCCTCCCTACCCATAGCCCAGTCTAAAGTCCCAGGGCTGGCTCTGATAGGCTGGGCTTGGGTCATGTGATAGCTCTGCACCAATCACTACAACCAGGGGAAGCAATGCTCTGATTGGCCAAGCCTAGTACCATGCACATCAATGATGCCGGAGAGGTGGGTCCGTGCTCCTACATTAGCGATCAGGGTGAGGGTAGGGACTGGACCCGTGGTTCTCAGTGGGAACAGATTCTGCTGATCCAGGGGACATCTGGCAATATCTGGAGACATTTTTGGTTGTCAAGACAGGGAAGGGGGAGAATGCTACTGCATCTAGTGGGTAGAAGCTGCTAAATATCCTACAATGCACAGGACAGTCCTCATCAAAAAGAATGGTGCCAACTGGACGCTGCATAAGTCAACAGAAAACTAGTACAGATCGGTCCTCAAGGTCAGGTCACCAACCATCTTGTTCAGACCAGCAAACTGAGGCCAGAGAGGGGCTGTGATTCACTGAAAGTTAATCACGGGACTCAGGAATGTCTGAGATCTGGGTTGTTTTAGTTGTGGTCAAGTATGCATAACATAAAATTTACCGTTTTATGGTAAAATGCATGTGACGATGGTGTGAGAGGATTAGATAGTTAAGCTGTGTGCCTATCATGTATGGGTTTCTGTGACTGCCCTCTGTTTGGGAGAGCTCTCCCAGGGCTTGGGGAGCAAACGTTTGTTGACCGAGTAAATGAGAGCCATTTCTTTCCCCAGCATTGTCCATCTATGCCCTGCTGCTCTTTGAGATCGAGACAGGTGCAGCAGCCGCCTCCATCCTTGGAGTGGGTGCTCTGGTCCTGGTGGCGGCGCTGACCCACACTCTGCTCCGAGCTGCCCGGGCCACCCGCCGCGGTCTCCATGAACTGTCCCCACCGCACGTTGAAGACGACCCTGTCCACCCTGCTAGAGTCTCCAAGGCCAGCCCCGGGGCTCCACCCCAGCAGGGTACCCACCGCCGGACACCCTACTCATCCTTCCCAGAACCTGGGGGCCCCCTTAGACCCACGTTCGCTGCTACAGCACCTGTAGCCATGGGGGGAGGCCGGGAGACAAGCCTGCCTTTATCCTACATGCACCGGACACTGTCAGTTGGCAGGGGGCACTGGGAAGGGGTGACCCACGAGATGCGCAGCATGCTAGGCCACCGGCCAGGGGGCTCAGGGAAGGACTCCACGCTGGTGTGAACGCAGGGATCAGGGATAGAGACCTGGTGTCAGGCAGCAGGAAGAGGACTCTGTAAAGATAGTCCAGGCTCAGCCACAGTAGCAGTAGGACTTGATTTCTCAGCATCCCTGGCTTGCGTCCTCAAGGTGGCTTCATGGCACAAAATGGCTGCCAGGGCTCCAGGCTTCACCTCCTCTCTCAGAGGGAAAGGCTGAGGCCAGGGGGTGCTCAGAACTTTCTGGAAATCTTCCTGGGAGGCCTTGGGACCCTCCTGCTTATACCTCACTGGCGAGAGCAGAGTCACATGACCACATCTCCGGGCAGAGGAGGCTGGGAAATGTAGCTGTCCAGATGTTAGAGGCAGGAGGGGGAGGGTCGGGCTTAAACAGTGGTTCTCTAAATGTCTCCATCCGTTTTACAGATGAGGAAACCGAGGTCCAGAGAGGGGCAGTGACTCACCAGGAGTCCCATGGCCAGTACTGAGCGTCAGAGTCAGGATTCGAACCAGGGTTCTGTAACCCCCATGCTGCTGACAGTACAAGTCTCAGACTCTGCGACTTCTTCCGGGCTGTGAGCATTTGAAATCTGTGTGTGCTGAGCTCAGAGTGGCCCAGGGCCACAGGGGCACCTGGAGGGCTGGACCCAGCCTTCTGGCTGTGGGCCCCTGGCTGAGGGCTTTGCTGCTCTGTGTCTCAGTTTCCTCCTCTATAAAATGGGGACATAAGTGGTTCCCCCCTCCTAGGGCTCCATTCCAGGTGCCTGTGCACAGTTGGTCCTCAGTGCATGTCCACCTGTGCTGTCGTCAGTCTGGGCCCCTGGTGGCAGGAAAAGGTGGGTTGATGGCCACCTTCTGGGGCTCACGAAACTGCCAAGGCTTAGAGTGGATAACTCAGAGCCCCAGGGATCTCCAGAGGCCCTAGCCCCACTCCCATCCCACACGACCCTCAAATAAACTCTGACCCTCGCTATCTCCTTTGTCACTTGAGCCACATCCAAACATGCTGTGTGGTCAAGCCCAGGCCCGGGGTAATGGGTGGGATGACAGGAATGGGGTGGGGAGGCAGAGTGGGGGGCAAGGGTGTACTTCTTGTAGACCCTAGTCGGGGACCCACGTATATAAATCTTCATGCATATAAATTTCACCGGGGGTGGGGATGCCTGGCCTCCACCCTCACCCCAAATGGACAGATGTCCCCAGAATTCTCCCAGTGCGTCCCTTCCTGGGCTACACAGGCACTCTGAGGCCCAGGGAGAGGAGACAGCTCAGCCACAAAGTGCCTTAAAGCCCCCCTAGGACCCTTTCCAATGGACAAAGAGGTGACAGCGCTCAGCTGGGGGGGCTGGTCCCCCAAGCCTGACCCTGGCAGGGACCCTGCTGATCCGATACACGCAGACCTGAGTGGCCAACCGACTCTGACTTCAGCTGCCTCCTCCCAGAGCCGCCGGGAAGCTGTGCAGACCTCCTTGCTGGTGGAGTGGAGGGAAGAGATAACACACATGAACGTCCCACGTGGCGCCTGACACGTCCCACGTGGCACCCAGTAAGCATGGGTTCTCGGGGAACATAAGAAATATCAATGAAAAGGATCAAATAAGAATAAATGTCGGGGCACCTGGCTGGCTCAGTCTGTAGAATGTGCGACTCTTGATCTCGGGGTCGTGAGTTCAAGCCCCATGTTGGGCATAGAACTTACTTTAAAAAACAAATAAATAAATGTCACGTCTTTATCACATGCCTGGTTCTGCAGGCGTGTGCCAGGCACTTTCCTGGCCTCAGTTAATCTTCAGGACAACCCCACTTACAGATGGGGAAACTGAGGCCCAGGAAGTGAGGCCACATGGTGGTGATGGCTGGAACCTCATTACCCCATCACAGAGGGCTCCAGGACAGAGCAGGTTCCTGAGAAACACCGGGAATTGCCGTTTCTGAGAATCCCCTGGAACAGGGCAGGCCCCCAGGACTCCGGGGTGTGGGAGAGGAGAATGAGGAGGAAGGACCACGGCTATCTGCCAGCGAACAGCACCTCATCTCCTGAACTGGGCAGGGGAACCAGAAGCTGGACCCCTCAGCCTCATCCCCAGGGCCAGGACTAGGGTGCAGGTGCAAAATTGGAGACCTGAAAGAATTGAAAACAGGTATTCAAACAAATTCTTCTACAAACACATTCATAGCAGCACTAGTCATAACTCCCAAAAGGTGGAAACAACCCAAATGTCCATCAACAGATAAGCAGATAAAAAATGTGATCAATCCATGCAATGGAATGTTACTCAGCCATGAAAAGGGACCAAGCACTGACCCATGCTACATATGGATGAAGCTCGAAAACATCATGCCGAGTGAAAGAAGTCACACACAAAAGGCCACATAGTGTGTGATTCCACGTATATGAAACATCCAGAACAGGCAGATCCATAGAGATGGAGCAGATTAGTGGGTGCCAGGGGCTGGGGGAGTGGGATGGGGAGTGATTGCTCATGAGGACGGGGTTTCCTTTCTGGGTGATAGAAATGTTCTGGAACTAGACAGGAGTAATGCTTGCACAACATTGTCCGTGTACTAAATGCTACTGAATTGTATGCTTTAAGATGTGAATTCTGTGTTATGTGAATTTCACCTCAATCAAGACAAATTTAAGGAGGCACTTGATCTTAGGCTCCTGCAGGGGCAGGTGGGCCCCTGAACTAAAATGAGCTCCTTAAATGTTGCACCCCTCGAGCTTGCTAGCCTCACTCTTGTGTGACCCCTGCTCATCCTCATGGAACCCAGAATAGGAGCCCTGAAAACTATGCAAGGTTCCAGCTTGGAGGGCCAGCTGGGAGTGCTGCCCATAGCCCAGTCGAAACCTACCCCCCTTGCCGTCTCTGCCCTGGAAGGGACACCAAGCATCCTCATATCTCAGCCAGAATCAGGTGAGAGGGGATGAGGCTGGTCCTGGGGCTGGAGCCAAATGCTCAGGTTGCTCTGTGTCCTCCAGGAGCTGGGACAGACCTGGCTCAGGGAACAGTCATGCGACCTGCCACTTTAGTTTCCTTTATAAAATAAGGTGGCCTCCTCCCCTCCACCAAACACAGCGATGAGGACCAAATCAGAAAAGATATTGATGTCTCCATTAATTCCATGGGCCATGCAAAAACCAGCAGCTGTCGGCATCCTGGTATGATTAGAGAATGGATGATATCTCTCAAAGATGTTGCCTTGGATTGGGATCATCAGAACCAGACCTTGAGATGATTTGGGGGATGTGGTTTGTTTATGTGGGAGGGTACCTCAGGAAGCCCTAGAGCCCTTCCGGGACACCAAGGAGCAGACAGTACTGTGGGCAATTGAGGCTCCATGCTGCTAGGGACCTCCGGGGGACACCATAAAGCACACACAGCAGAGTGGGCCCCACACTGGGGTGCTTATCCTATGACCTCCATCAGGTATTGGCTGAGAGCTGCTTCTAGAGAGATTAACCCTTCACACTTCTGGTCTTCCCTGTGCACCAGCTGGACACACCCCTGTGGCCAAAGGAGGCCCCAGGCAGGGTTGGAGATATTTGCTGGGAATGACATTCATCATGGAGAGATGAACATGGAGGGGGTGAATGGGAGTGAGGCACAGAGAACATCTGCTCCAGCTGTGTAAGCATTTTTCAACAGCAGTACAGTGGGGGATACTGAAAGCACTTAACCACACTATTTCCGGTTGAGAAGAACTATGGAGTTTTGGGAGCCCACCATGGGCCAAATACCCTGCCTAACTCACACAAGCATCGCTGTTGTTGTCCCCTTGATACAACCCATCTCTCTTCTTTAGTTCTACGCATGCAATCTACTGAAAGTGGCAGAGTGGAGCTGGGGTCCTCTGTGCTGGTGACATTTGGAATGGAAGGCCAGATGCCACCTTGAAGGAAATTGCTCAGCACAACAAGGGGCATATTCCCCCCCCATACACACCCCAGAAAACACTTCATGAACATACTTTAAAACATATTTCAGATGAAATAAGAATTTTGAAAGGACCTCATGAGCCCTCCATCTCAGGACGGTTCTAGGTACAGTGCAAATTCGACCTTAGGCTCAGAAGAAGACCTGAGATGCAAAACTGAGTTGATTAGGATAAATGGAGCAAGAATCACATAAATACTACCTGAAAATCCAGCACGTTTTCTTTCCCTGACTTCAATATCCTTTGCGTTTGTAACTGTTCGCTCTTGCTGCATAATAAATCATCCCCCAAAGTTAGCCGCTCAAAACAACACCCATTTATTATCTGACAGTTTCTGTGGGTCAGGAATGTGGGCATGGCTCAACTGAGTCCTCCCCTTCAGACTGCAATCCGGGTTCGACGGGGGCGGGATCTCCTTCCAAGCTCACTTCGTCGTTGTTGGCAGGAGTCCATCCATTCCCTACAAGCTGTGGAACTGAGGGTTCCTTTCTGGATGTTGGTAAGAGGCTGCCCTCAGTTCCGTGACACATGGGCCTCTTTATAGGCCAGTGTGCTTTAGCAAAGCCAGCAAGAGAGCCTGCAACCAGTCAGAAGTCACTGTCTTTTAGAACCTAATCATGGAAGTGACACCCCATCACCCTTGCTGTATTCAGTTGGTTAGAAGTGAGTCATCAGGTCCAGCCCATACCCAAGGGAGGGGATTACAGAGGCCTGAACACCAGAACACCATGGTCTTTGGGGACCATCTCAGAGGCTACCTCACATCTCATAAATTCTCTTCAGGCTCTGTTCAAAGACAAGTAAAAAGGGCAGGTGGATAAGCAAGATGAGAAAGGGGTGTTTTCCATACAGCACAAATCAGCTGTTTTCAGTTAGGATCTCTAAGCCGGCAAGAGTGTGCAGAACAGCTAAGGAATTCAAGCTCTGGCAAGACAAATGGCCAAAATTAACACAACTGACAATGCCGAGTGTTGGTGAAGACATGGGGTCACTGGAACTCTCATTCATTGTGGGTGGGAGGGTAAATTGGTACAACAGCCTTGGAAATCTGCTCAACTGCATCTGTGAAAGCCGAACATAGGCCTCGCCTACCACCCACAATCTCCACTCGGGGCACTTACACAACAGGAATGAGTGCGTGTTCCTCCAAAGACATGTACAAGAGTACTCAGGGTGGTTTTGCTCAGTGGCCACGGACAGGAGACATTTAGCAGCGGGGGAACAGGTGAACAGACTGGTATATCCATGCAGTGGACTCAGCAACGAAAAAGAAAGGAATTATTCAGCAATGAAAAAGAAGGAATTATTCATACAGGCAACACCCTAGATAAATGTCACAGACATGATATTGAGCAAAATTAGCCAGACTCAGAAAAGAACTCGTTAGGGCATGACACTTCTATCAAGTTCAAGAGCAGGCAGGATGAATGATGAGGTAGAACCCAGTAGCTTTAGGGGGCTTGAAGGGGGGTGGCAAGGGGATGTTTGAATCTGGCCCAGGTGGGTGCTCTGATCGAGGGGTGGAGAGAGCAGAAGGGGCCACAGCTGGACTCAGCAACATTTGAACACAGGAAGTGTGGATTTTGCACTAGCAGAGGCCACTGGGGGTTGCATCCCCCAGGCACCTGCTTGGACTTTGCACTCCAGAAACCGTTCGGCTGGGAAGGCCTTTCAGGGATGGGAAGTGTTTCTGCAAGTCAGTAGAGCAGTCAAGGGACGCGTGCATTCCCCCTCAGAGCTGCGCTGGGGTAAGGCCCATTGAGATACCCATTGTAAAGATGGAGAAACTGAGGAATAGAGAGGTTAAGCCACTGCTCAAGGTCACCAGCGAGTGAGCGGTGGAGCTGGGACCTCATCTCGCCCTATGACACCTGTCTCAGGTGGGAGCAAGCCAAAGGCAGGAAGGATAAAGCTTTGGCTCCCTCCTGTGTAGCCCAAGATGGCGTAAGCTCAGCCATGGCAGTCAGGATTGATGTGGCCCAAGTCGGGCGTGGGTGGGTGGGCTCCGAGGTGAGCCCGCACTTCCCCAGGCTGTCCTCGGGCCCCGTGGAGCTCAGAGGGTTGGGATTTTGCCGGGTCATTGGCCTAGCAATACCAGCAGGTCCAGTCAGATCCGGGGCCAGGACGGCTCCTCTGGGGGCCCCTGGTCACCCAAAGGATGCCCTGGAAAGCGATGCAGAGCTGGTTTCAGGGTGGCCAAGAGGGTGACCAGGGAGAACAAACAGCCTTTGCTTCCCGGCCAGATCAGATTCCACGGCCGGCGCCAGAGCAGCCTGGGCGGGACCGGCGGGTGGCAGCTGTGCCCAGAGAGGGGAGAGGTGGGGAGATGTCTCAGCACCAAAGGCCTAGTTTTCCCAAGGCAGCTGCGCTATACAGGGGAGGGGGCACGTTTTGCGCAGCCTCGCCGGGTCCCCCCTCTCCAGGATGGCTTGCTCTCTCTCCTCTGAGACTCCCAGGACAGGGCCACTCTGCTTTCCTGTGACCCCAGAGCAGGACAGGATCTGCCCCCTCAGACCCCCAGGACGGTGCCGTTAGATACAAGTCCCCGGGTGGGCCATACGCCCCTTCCGGGGGCCCGGGGGGGCACGTTCTGGCCAGTGATCTGTGAGCAGAGCTCCAACGAGGCACTTACAGGCCAGGGTATTTCACTGACAGGGCAAGAGCTTCCTGAGCCTGTCCCCAATGCTGCACCAAGACGGTGGCAGCACCTTCGGGCAGGTCTCAGAGACCGTGACCAGCAGAGTCTGCTGCTGCCCGGCCGTGGGCACGTGGTACGAATGAGAACGAAGCCTTAGTCTTTCTAAGCCACAGAGATCCGGGGACGTTCCTGACTGCAGCAGAACCTGGGCCACCTGACGCTACGGGGACCCAGGGTGGACAGAGCAGGAAAGGAAGAAGCGCGGGCGTGGGAGAAAAACGGTGTGAGTCTGGGGTCGTTAATTTACAAATCGGCCCACCCCATTATGCTTAGATCCTGTATTTGTGAGTCCCACGCTAAGAGTTGCCACCCCCAAACCAGTATTTGCAGCACTTTGTGGTCATTCAGGGACAGGCACAGAGCAGGGGGAAATGTGAATCACCGAGGCACATGGTTCCTGTTGAGGTGGGATGCGGTGACGCTCCGCCAACTTGCTTTAGCTTGGGCTGCGAAGAGGTGGCCTTTTTATGGTCTATCTAGTGGCACATTTTTCACATTTTTGTGCTTTTTTTTTGGCAATTTTGCTATTTAAAAAGGTCTGCAGGGGTGCCTGGGTGGCTCAGTCGGTTAAGTGTCTGCCTTCGGCTCAGGTCATGGTCCCAGGGGCCTGGGATCGAGCCTCGCATCGGGCTCCCTGCTCAGCAGGAAGCCTGCTTCTCCCTCTCCCTCTGCCCCTCTCCCCACTGGCGCTGTCTCTCTCACTGGCTCTCTCTCTCTCTCAAGTAAATGAAAAAAAAAAAAAAGGTCTCCAAGCATAGTGCTTAGTGTTGCCTCTCCCCGAATGCAAGAAGGCTGGAATGTGCCCCTGGAGAAAATGTGTATTAGATGAGCTTTGTTCAGGCATGAGTTATAGCTCAGATGGTCAGGAGTTCAATGTTAACCAATCAGCAGTATGTATTAAACAAGGTGTCTTGAAACACACACAAAACAAGGTCACGGATTGATTGCTTGAGAAAAATGTGACCAAAGGCTTGCAGGAACCTACTTCTGTATTTGCTGCAGAATCCAGTATTCCCTGACTCAGTTTTCACTGCAACGTTATAGAACGTAAGGACAGTGAATAATGAGAATTGACTGAATGTATCCACAGAGCAGAGCAAAAAGACACATAGAACAGCTTGAAGGTGAAGAGAGCAGGCTCTGGATTCAAATCTCAGCTGTGGGAGCGCCTGGGTGGCTCCGGTGGTTAAGCTTCTTTTGCCTTCGGCTCAGGTCATGATCTCAGGGTCCTGGGATCAAGCCCCACATCCAGCTCCGTACTCAGAGGGAAGTGTGCTTGTCCCTCTGCCCCTCCCCCTGCTCATGCTCGCTCTCTCTCTCCCAAAGAAATACAATCTTTAAAAACAGAACATCTCAGCTGTGACCTCAGCTGCCCCTGCCTCGGTTTCCCTATCTGTAAGATGCGCAAAACCAGGGCTTCATAGCGGGGTGTGGGAACACCAAACGAGATACTGTGCATCAGGTGTTGGGGATTTGATCCCCTCCCCAGGATCTAAACGTAACTGAAACTATTATTCCTGCTACGAGCAGTGATGGAGGGGCAGACCCGGTCTTCTCTGTGATCTACAAGCCCACTCAGTCACACACTGAGCCTGTCTCCCCCTCTGCGGAATATTCTGGGAGGGGCAGCAGTGCTGCCTCCCCTCGCCGATTTTGCTTACTGGGTGGGCATCTGCCCCCGACTCGTGCTGGGTGTGCGTGGCAAAGACCTCGAGCCACAGAGGACCCGCAGCCAGGATCGGGACTCCAGACAGTGGGCACGGGGTGGTGTTTATTGCCAGGAGGACGCCCGCGTGGCCTCCAGGCACCAGAGAGTTTTGACACAAATGACTTGAAGGCACTGGTTTCCGTCCAGCCCCCACCCCTGCCCTGCAGGGCCCCGGGGGCGAGAGACCCCATCACCAAGCAGACCGGTCGGTCCTGCTCCTTCTCCAGGGCTGTGGCTCTGTTGGGTGGCTGAGGCTCTAGAACGCCCTGCGCCGCCAAGGTTCCCAAGATGCTGCAGGATGGGGTGGCTGCCAGTCCTGGGGTGGTGGGGGTGCCGGGCAGGGGGCTCTTCCCTGGGGCTGACCAAGAGCTACGAGACGCTGGGGGGTAGGCGTGCAGCTGCTGTCTTCTCCACCACGAAGCCGTAGTTATACTGGGGGGGCAGTGTTGGGGGCAAGGAGAACACAGAGTGAGTGAGGGGCCACAGCGGTGCCTGAGGAAGGGTGAGCGGGTGAAGACAATTAGGGACTTAGCGAGCTCCAGCCCTTGGGAGATGGGGTGTGGCTGGGGGAGACTGGGGTAGCAGGAAGGTGGGGGTCCCCCAGCACCCCATCCTGGGCCCCGCACCCACCTCCTCCTCAATATCTGCCAGCGACTTGATGGTCAGATCGGCAAAGGCAGAGAAGGCCTGGTGGGCAGAGGCAGGTCAGTCTTGGGTGGGGACCCTAACCTGGAACTCCATTCCCTCATCCTCAAGGAGGGCCTCCCCCAATATTTGCCTGAACATCCCTTCATCCTTCCTGCCACAGCCTCCTGCCACCAGCATCTAGTTGTTCCTCCCGATTCCCCATTCTGTGACTAAGACCCTCCAGCTTCCGGCCTCCTCCAACCCAGGAACATGGGCCTCTGTGCTGGGGCACTGGGTACATGGATGACCCTCTGCATCCTGACCCCTAGGAAGGCAACTGGCAGGGAAAGACCCAGGCTCCCCCAGCAGAGACTCACCAGGGGGCCACAGCTCTTGCCCTCGAACCGGGGGTGCAGTGTGAAGGGAACACCATCCATGGCTAAGGAAAGCAGGTAAGGGTAGGGGCTGAGACACAGGGAGCTTGCGGCCTGCCTGCGGTCCACCCCAACCAGAGAGGCCCAGCCCCAAACCCCAGGCTCTCCCCAGTCTTTGCAAATATTGGGGAGGCCCAGGCCTGGTTCCAACCCTGGCCCCACCCCTTCCTGCCTATCCCACCTTGAGCCAGTCTTGCCCCACCCCAGTGCCTCAGTTTCTTGCTCGGCACTCACCTGAGATGCCGTAGAGGTTGGAAGCCTCATAGATGGAGTCACTTCTCCGCAGAGTAGACGCCCGAGAGCCTAACCTGGACAGGGTCCGCTCTGGAAAGCCACCCTTGCTGGTGGAGGCAGGACAGCGCAGGTCAGGCCTAATTCCCCCCACGGCTGCCCCATTCCCAAGCCTAAGCACTCACCTGCGCTGGGCATGCGGGTCCAGGGAGAGGCCCCGCATGTCCTGGCTGAGAGCTCGGGGCTTGGGCACCGGCCTTGGGGCCTTGGCCTTCTTGCACCAAATGGCAAAGCCCCCCATGTCCCTAGAAGGAAAGAGAAGTAGGGAGGGGTCCTGGCCCAAGAGGATGACCCCAGCCCTTTGGGGGATTTGCCTTCTATCTTAGCCCTCGCCCTGAGCAACATCCGAATTAATAGTGCTGGGTCCGATCACAGAACTGTGTGCTTCAGACTCATCAACTCATTCCTCACAAGAACCTTGTAAGACTGATACAATTAGCCCTGTTTTTAACCTGTGGAAATTGAGGCACAGGGAAGTGACAGAAGGCACTCAGGACAGTCCCTGAGGGTCAGCAGGGCAGATATGGGAGCTGGAGGGCAAAGGAGGCCAGAGGCTGGGGGTGGCCCTACCCTACTCGCAGGTATCCAGGCACCGTCTTGGTCTTCCCACTCAGCCGGACATCGAACACGGCCGTGTCTGCAGCCCCCAGGGGCATCAGCTTCACACACATGCGTTTCTTCTTGGACACAGAGGCCTCTGGGAGTGGGGGGGGGGGGTGCAAGGGAGTGAGAAGAGGGAAGAAGCAGCGAAAGGGGCCCAAAGATGGCTCCAGGATGATGCTCGCCAGGGCGCTGTTTAAGGCAGCTCCCTGGACAGCTTTAGGTCAACGGTTAAATCAAGAATGGTAGAGCCAGAGGAGGGGACTCCATGTAGCCTCTAAGAGCCGCTGGGGCAGGCTTATCTTTGGTGACATGGAGAGGCATTCATGGGGTGACCCTGGGCACCTACAGCAAGGGTGGGCATCTGTGGAATCAGACAGAACTGAATGCCCATCCTGGCCCCGCAAACCTCACTGTTCCTTAGTCCTCTAATCCAGAGATCAGCAAACTCTGGCCCATAGCCAAAGGACGTCCAAAATCTGCTTTTGCAGGGCTTATGAGCTAAGAATGGTTTTCATGTTTTTAAAGGATTGGCGAGGGAGGAGCGGGGGGCAATGACACTATCTGGCCCGCAAAGCCTAAACTATTTACTATCTGGACCTGTGCAGAAAAAGTTTGCCAATTCCAATATCAAGAGATACACCCTGAGAGTCAAATACACATGACAAGTCACAGTGAGAGGCAGGGGGAGCCAGGTGGTTGGAAAGCCAGGCGGTCAGGGCTGGGAGGGCAGCACCAGGGCTACAGGAGCCGGAGGAGAGGGCTGGGGGGAGCTAAGCAGAGACCTGAAGGAAAACCAAGTATTAGCAAGCCGGAAGAGTCGCGGAAGGGCGCTCCAGGCAGAGGAAACAGTGTGTGCAAAAGCCTGGAAAGGAAAAAGCTTGGAAATGGCCAGTGGTTCGGCTTGGCTACGGTGTAAGATGTAGCAGGAACAGTAATAAAACAGGTCACAACCCTTACTCTAGGTCAGAGGCTGTGCCAATGGCACATTTTTACGCGGGGCAGGGCATGCGGCCCCGCCCCAGAACAGGGCTCGACTCCACAGCCAACCCGGTCATCACCCAGTGCATCGAGTGGGCGGTCGAGGCTCGGAAAACAAGCACCTGTCGTCCCTCCACCCGTCCCTGGTCCTACCCACAGGGACCCCAACGCGGCCCCCTACCCCACCCCCAACCTCCGACGCGGGCCTCACTGGAGTCCAGGGGGTCGCAGACCGGGGAAAAGCCCGGTGGGAGGGGGCTCTTGTCAACCAGGACCTGGATATCGGCCACCACATTCTCCTGCGGATTCTGAGGGGGAGGAAGGGGAGGACACAGCGACAGTCACGCTGCAGCGGGGACAGCGCGCCTGGCGTAGGGCCCCGCAAAAGGACGGGGAGTGGGCGGAGCCCGGGGATGCCGAAGGAGTGCGCCCCTTACCTCTAGGCTGCCCAAAGAACTGAGGCACAAAAAGTAGCCAGACTTCTGCGCGAAGCTCTTGCCGAAGTTGGCGGGCGCCCCTTCCACGGTGCAGGAGATCTAGGGCGTGGACCGGAGTCAGGACCGGGCTCCTTCCCCGACGCGGCCGCCTCTGCCCCCACTAATCCCCGGGCCCCCGACGTCGCTCACCGCACTGAATCCCCGCGGCGGAGGCGCCGAGGCCGACGACCAGGCCAGGCCAGTCAGCGGCGCCGTGTCGGTCCCGGGTCCTGGATCCATCCTCCCAGCCAAGAGCCGAAGGTGGGGACGGCTTCGGAACTCCGAGCCGCCAACCCGCGGCTGAATTAGGGTGGGAGTCTGAACTACAAATCCCAGACACCATAGGGAAGGCGCGGGGAGGGGGGGGGTCAAAAGAGCCGTTTGCGCGTGCCCGGAAGACAGCTGGCCAATCGTGTGGGAAAGGGAAGCCACGCCCCCGTACGTCGCGCAGGCGCGCCCGTGAGCGACGTTTGCGGAAAATTGTGTCGCTACCTTCTCACCGCCGGCTATTTCCGATATCCCAGCTCTGCGCCAGAAGTCTGGGCTTGCCCTAAACCAGAACTACGCTCCCCAGAATCCCTTGCGGCATCAGCCTCTCCAGAGACACGCGTGGACTTGTAGGGGAAAAATGTGAAAAAGCACAATTCTAGTTCTAGGAAGTCATCCTAAACTGAAACTTTCATGGGTTATGCAGGGATTCGTTTAAATAACAAAAAATACGGGCCGCCATGAGCCATGAAATCTTGTGTAACTTGAGGACTTGTTCGTGTTACTGGTGGGAGACTCTGCGTTGTGTGAATGGAGTCTCGGTTCTTGGATTCCCCACGGAAGATTTACCCGAGGATCCGCGCTTAAGTAAAGACAGCCAGAAGGAAGGTGGCAAGCGCAAAGCAGTTCATGAAGAACCGCACACTCTGGAGGTGGGAGAGCGGGCAGGCCCAGAAATGGCAACTGACCTGAGGCTATAGGGGTGTCTTTTCCTATTATGTTTATGAGCATAGCTACGGTGGTCTGCTACTGAGGTTTCCGGTCATCTAAGGGACTCCTCCTACCGGTTGGGAGGGGGAGTTTTTGGCTCTCCCGCGTCTTGCCGGAAGTGTCGTGGCCATCTTCCCCCGCAGGGGGGCGTGAGGTGGGGGTAGAAACCACGGTGTAAATATACTATAATGAACCTAGGCAGTCACCCTGGGGTACAGATTGGAGAGGCGACCACAGGTTCTGCACCTGTGGTTCTTGGTCGACCAGCCCGCTGCCACAAAGCCACAAAGAGAGCCCCCAGGCTTCTAATGTGTGACCTATTTATCGCCGCCCTTGCCTCCAGCTCGGGTCTAACTAACTGCCTGCTCCATGATTCCCAGACACAATTAGTTTTTTTCAATGAGATATAAAATACTTAATACGGATGCTTTTACACCCCTCAGGGGAAAATACGGAAAATTAGGGAACAGAGTATTATCTCCTCTTCTATATTTCTCCATTTTCTGCAATATCATGGGTTGGCCCACTTCTAGCTCTTATACGACCCGTGAGCTAAAAATGGTTTTTATATATGTAAATGATTGAAGGGGGGAAAAATCAAAAGAGTACTTAGTGACATGTGAAAAATATATGACATTCAAATGTCAATGCCCATAAGAAACAAATATCCTGGGATGCCTGGGTGGCTCAGTCGGTTTAGCATCTGCCTTCTGCTTGGGTCATGATCCCAGGGTCCTGGGATCAAGTCCCACATTGGACTCCTTGCTCAGCAGGGAGCCTGCTTCTCTCTCTACCTGCTGCTCCGCCCTGCTTGTGCTCTCTCTCTCTCTGACAAATAAATAAATAAAATCGGAAAAAAAGAAACAAACGTCCTGGAAAAGGTGACCCAATAATGAGAAGGGGTTTCAATTAGCATGGAGGGGTGGCTTGCTTGGTGGCTGTCTGACTGCCTTGGAGGCAGATACCCCAGCAGCAATCTAAGCACATGGGAGATAAAACACAGACTGAGATAATGACTCCCAAAATAAGTAACCATTTTTTCCACCAGGACACTCCCATGATCCAAACCATCCATTTATTAAGTCCCTAAGCTGGGGGTGGGATCACTCAGGGCATTCACATGCGTCCTCATGTGCTGTAATAAAGATGATACATTAGCAGACTCATCAGATACGAACACACGACGTTCTGCTTGGATAATGGCATAGGTGGACTCCTTGCAAGACAGTCATGTCCAAGTCCGTCCTAATTTGGCCGACAGCCTTTCTCATTAGGGACATTTCAGGGTTTAGTAGGACAGGCTTTTTTGGCTATCATTTAAGGCTTTACTGGGTGAACTTAGTAAGGGCGTCTATGTGAGCTATAACTTCCTCCAGGCCAATGGACGGAACAAACATGGCGACCAAGGGATCATACCAGTGGAAAACAACGTGCCCATCTGCGCTTGAGGAGGGGGAGATTGGCAACTTTTGTTACTGTGGAGCAGATTTCTGGGAGACCCCAGGGTGTAGCGGCCCAACCACCCAGGTGGAAACCAAGCCAAAGATTTGAGCCACACAATCATCGGGTCCCATTTGGATTTATGTTACAGTGATGTCCATCCCATATCCCTGGTGTACTTGGGTTGGTTCTGTTTAGAGTGTTGTTTGTTTGGTTTTTTTTCTGTTCCCCACATTGAGGTACATGAGTACTCACCTGTCTATAAGCCGGGGTAAGCCACATGAACCCATCCCAAATCTGAGTGATGCCACCTAAGGCTCTGAGAGTGATATTTTTAGGACCCTTCGGATGGGCTGCCTGTTTCATTCAGTCAACAGAAAGAATACCCAATGCCCAATGTTATTGAGAGATGTGCCACAGGCCAGATTTCTGGCTCAGTATTGGTAATATCAGCTGAATTAACAGCACCTGTCCTAGCTTATGCTTTCTTTTTTTTTTTTAATTTTTTTTTTTATTTATTTATTCATGAGAGACAGAGAGAGAGAGGCAGAGGGAGAAGCAGGCTCCCAAGGAGCAGGGAGCCCGATGCGGGACTCGATCCC